TGCTAGAGGGTCCCAGGAAAGTTAATCATTTTGGGGCTTCTCACTGCTCAGTAGAGATGGGCTTTGAGTAATCCTTTGCATCTCCGTCACCCAGGGGAAGTGGGGAGATAAATCCGTGGGGGGCAAAGAAATGCAAAGCAACAGGAAATGAGAGAACATACTGCATTAGAGGAAGTGTCGGTACTACTTTTCAGATGGAACATGGGATTTGAGTGGGAAGTGAGAGGCAAGTTGAGTCAGCTACCTGCAAAGAAACCAGATGATAATGTGTCATTTTAGCCTAACAGAAATGTGAAGCAAAGGAATGACTTTGATTTTAAGTAATGGAGTATCATAATCATTTTATCAGAGTTGTAAAGATTGAAATGAATATAGGTCCACATTGGAGTGAACAGGCTCACTAGCAATCATATAAAAGCAAATTAAGACAATATGAAGGAGAAAAATAATTGTAAAAGATATCTCCTAAAAACTCAATATTTAAGCATGTGCTTTATAAGTAAAGTAGGCCAAGTTTCTATGGTGTTCGCTACATCATTATATGTCACCGGATAATCTTAGGGTGTTGCTGCAAAGTTCCATAATAATCTTGTATAATGCAGACTTAATACAAGCTGCCAAAATTTGGGACTCACATTTGTATTGCTCTAGCTGGATTGTTTTTTGTCTCAAGACTATGGTTATATTTATAATTGGGATACAGCCTGATTATTCTAGTCCAGCCATACCTTGATGAAGGATCTTTGTGACACAGTGAAGGCTACGAAATTTATAGGCAGGGAACAGGCAAATAGGGAAGCTGGGAAGAAGTGAAAAAGATCATTACTATTGAGACAAGAGGTAAAATCTTTTTGTTGACTTAAAAACTTATTTCACTTCTTTAAACTCATTTTCTCATCTATAAACTGACAATTATAAATGGTGTCCATATAGTTTAATTTTGTGCATTGGTAATGAGGTAAATATGTATAATTTCTAACGCAGAAAGTAAACACTTAGTAATGTTGTCCCTTAATATTATATGATTATTACAGAGTTGCTAACTCTAGAAAAAGAGGTAAGACTGACAGAAGACAGAAGTGTCAGAATTCAAAAAGTATCCAACCAAGAATTTAATTTAGTGGATCTAGGCAAAGGTCCAAATGGAATATGAGCTAAGGATGACATTGAAACAGGCTAAGGAAAAAGAAGATAAAAGTCCATGAATAAGGTTAATTCAAGAGCTAAGTCCAGGAAGAATAAGCAATTCTCTTATTTTTAGCCAGGAATACTAGACTGGAGCTGAGACCATGAATGGATCAAGACAAGTTGATCAAATCCATATTAGAATCTTAAAAGTGATCCTAAATTTTTTCAGAGGATTGAAGAACCACACATAGAAACTGAATAAAAGTGTCAACTCTCCAGCTGGGAGCTGACAATATGGTTCTGAATCACTTTCCTTAATAAGGGATTAACTCAGAAAATATTGTTGTCTATCTCAATCCTCTCCATGCACTTTTTCCTTAGGAAATAGATGGAGATCACCTCTTATAAATCCCTTTATTTTTGTTGATTTTGGGTATCTGTGTTCATACCATAGCACTCTCCAAAAAAAATTTAGGGAAACAATTAGCTGCTATAAATGTGCTCTGTGTGAGTCCTTAATTGGAAAATCAATTTTGCTAACAAAACACTTAATTACAAAATTGTCTTCAAAGTCTGCAAATTTCAGGCTAAAATGTTAAATAATGAGAATCAGGCATCTTTAAAAAGAAAATAAAATTTAATAATAATCTCTAGCATTTTCCCCAATGTCTCTTGGTTAATATAATTTATTGAGCATATTGTCATCATCTTCATTCTCTCACCATATTGCTTAGGAGTGATTCTCAATGTTAAAGGTTGGAATCTCAAGGAAGCCAAATCAAAATAATTTGGTGGGGCTTTTCAAATGACATAGCCTTCTACAACTCACCTTTTCTACCTCCCTTCCAAGATTGTTCTACCTCTCTCTCATTTAGAGACTGTATCTTTGTGAGCCACTGTTGCTGATATTAATGGGCCTAATCATCTTGGTTTGCTAAAATGGAAAAAAAAAAAAAAAAAAAAGTTGAGACCCAGAGACAGTGTGGTATTTAAAAACTATGGCATCTGACCCAAACCCAAGCTTATAACCAATACTTCTGTGCTATTGTCTAGCTTCTCAGAGTCTCAATTTTCCTATCCATAAAAGGGGAGTAATGACACTTCTCTGTTACACATAGTCATTTAGCACATTCAATAAAATTTAGATATTATTACTTGAGGTAGATCTGCCTTTCTAGAGTAGAAGAAAGAACACAGGGTTGTATGTTCCATTTCTGCCTTCTTTTTAGCCATTCATGTTTGCCTAATATATCTGAGCTTTGAGTTAAAATTTTGTCTGTTATAAAACAGAAAGGGCATATCTTGTGCCTGTTTACTTCATAGAGATGCTAGAGGGTATCCAACGAGCTAAGGTATTCAATAAAAATTTTAATAATGCAATAAAATATTTATTACTATATGATTATGCAAGTTTTATTTTTTTTCCTTTTTGTCTTTTTTTCGTGTCCGGCAACGGATCGCAACCCTCAGTGTCGCACCCGTACCGGACCGGGACCGGCAACTGGATCGCAACCCTCGGTGTTGCTCCCACACCTCACTCAGCCAGTGAGCGGGAACCGGTCTGTATGTGGGATCCGAACCCTCAGCGGGAGCGCCACCACGCTCCCAAGCAGCGCACTGTAGCAGTGCGCCACCGGGCCAGCCCTGATTATGCAAGTTTTAAATGCAAGTCACTTTGACTTGTAATGATTGATTTCCTCCTCATTAGTAATCCCTTGAAAAAAATTTTTTTGGATTTTTCAGAAAAGAATGTTCTCTTCAAGTAAGTTCAGAGAAAAACACCTAAAAATAATGGGGGTGAAAACTAAAGAGATAATGTGTGGAACAGTATAGAGTGACAGGTATTCAGGCAGACTTTCGTCAGTTCATTATTTTTGCTGATACAGTGTGAGAGATTTTATGTAATTATACATATTATAAATTTACAAATTATCATGGTGAATTCAGAGCCCCTCATATCCAATGGTAGCTGTTCTGTGACATGTTGGTAAAATGCACAGCTTACGGGCAATGACAGAAGAGGCTAGTTTTGCCCATACTCCTGCCCCACTCAAATCATTTAATTACTTGCACACATTTAATCACTTTTTTTCTGAAGTAACTATGAAAATGCAAAGCTTAAACCTGACTTCATCAAAAATTATTTATTCTAATTAAAATATTTCCAGTGCATTTACATTTTCATGATTCTAAATGAGTATTCTATTCAGCATTTCTATGAATTGTCTAACAAAAACAAATATCTTTTTATTTTTCTAGATTTGCCAAGAATTGCTTTATAAACCAAATGCAATATAAGTTACAGATGATTTTCAACAAATAGTCTGATATGTAATTACTTTATCTTCCCAGGATGTACTGAAAAATAGTTGTTTTTAAAATACACATTTAAAAAGAAATAACTGCAATTGTTAGAGCATATTAAGTGCAGAGAAAAACTTGCTTAAGTAAGCTTAAAAATAATTTTAACTGGCAATTTAGTAAATATTCTAGCTATTTGACTGCCCAGTAGTTCATTTGCTAGGAACAAATGCATTTAGATTAGTTGAGGTAATCACTAATATGGCAAGAACAGGGGCCTTGTGTTCAATTTCCAACTGCTGACTAAGCCTATGTCTGTAATACTCAACCTCACAAGACAACACTCTTTTACTTGTTATTTACTATTTATTATGAATTACCATTTCTCCATATAATCCTTGAAATAGCCAGCATCCACTGCTCCCATTAGGATATTTGGTCCATTTTTGTAATAAATAGCTTTATCAATTGTTTTATTTATGTTAAGAGGATCTCCGAAGTGTTGGGACCCTGTTAAACATTCTTGTTCACTTAAGTATATCAAATCGTACCTTTATATCCCATTTTTTACAATTTTTGCCAGCCATTTATTTAATCTAATCACAGTTATCAAACATTACATAAAACTATTTCCTTATGGTTAGGGAGGATCAATAACCAGTCCTTTTAATTGTGTGTCAAAAATTTTAATCAAATACACTTAGTGAACTCAAATCATCAAACATTCCACATCTGAAAATTATATTTATTCTAGCACAGCATTCTTTTTTTCTTCTTATTTGGATTGTACACATTTTTCTTCATTTCCTACAGATTTTTATGCCAGCAGCTTTTATAAGAACAAGTTTCTTTTTTTGTAAAGTACGAAATAAATGGACACACGTTGAAATTCTCATGTGTACGTTTCCCCCAGGCATGCAGAAATACATTCTTATACTCCCATATACAGAAGAAGAGAGAGAATATGTGTGCATATGTAACAGTATGATTTCAGTTTATGGTAATATGCAGGAAGAAAAGGGTAGTTATTAGTTTGTCAAATTTCTGATATGAGAAATCAAAGTGAATCACAAATTACATTTTTGGAACAAGATGCATAAGAACTTTGATTTGTTGAAAAAAGTGAACAAACACAAGTAGTTACCACCAATTAGCATATCTAACAGCTTTCAAGGTATTTTTAACAAACATAAAAATGCTACAGTTGATGAACTTATAATTATCAATTCTGTTTCTTGCTTTTTTTTTTTTACAAAAAAATCCCACCTTCGCTATCACATTGTGAACTACCTAGTACTCGGTAAAAAAAAAAACACAATTCCCAGCTAGGTGACACTGTAATAAGCATTAAAGGAAGAATTATAATTAACTTTGCAATACATTACCTACATAAATAGAGAAACTGTATGTGTATGTGTATATATATATGCAAAGTTATTTAAGTACATTCATATTTACATATATAGCTTTTCAACAGCCATAAGCTGTTGTAGAAATCTGAGAATCCTGACTACTGGTCTATAAGTGAAATCCTTAAGGAGTGGCATATACTATTAAATTTAAACACTTACTGTGGAAGGATTGAAGAATATTGATTGTCCATTCATCTGTTAATCCTCCTGTTTTTGTTATCTGGATACATTTGAGTTGATTTGAGGATTCTCTTGATTCAATCCAACAAATCATATCTTCATTATAAATAAAATCCAGAGTATGAATCTCATTTCCATTGACTGAGCTCAGGGTTGCCATTTTACTTCCATTAAGATAAAAAACTTCAATTGTTTCTGAATTTGCAATTAGAAGCACAGGTGGCCTATCTGTAGGTTCTGGTATAAAAGAAAAAGAGGGAAGTGAGTTCAATAAGAGAGTCAATCTTTTTTCCTTTTTTTTTTTTTTACAATTTTGCATTACTCATAAAAAGTACTTCTGTATTTTTAATGCATTCTTAAAATGAAAATATTGCTTATAAAATAATTTTTAATAAACATATATATGCTTTACTATTTCAGATCACTTCAAAGAAAACATATTACAGTGAGCATTTGTACTCCTTATTTCCTTAGTCCTAATGGGTTGTCTAAAGGTGAGGACAATGCCATTTACTTTCATTGCCAGTAAATAAAGGAAGTGCTGTGAGTTGTTTTTTTCTAGCAATGATGATGAATCTTGTGTGACCTCTGCACACAGTTTTGTAGGCTTCACTTATGAGGTAGGGCACTCTTTTTTTGAGGTGAATGCATGAGGTCAGAAATAGATTCTCATAGAGTAAAACCCACAAAACTCATAGGTTTATATAAAGAGTACACCTGTGATATTGGCCTCATTGGATCCTTGACCGACACCAAGAGCCAAGCAATTGCCCCTTCTCTTACGGACTAGATTGTGATTAGTGAGCCATTTCCTCCACATTCCTTCTCTAAAGTAAGGAAAATAAGATTCTGGCTATAAAAGGAATGTGTTCAATACCACTTTTTAAAACAACAGAGCTTTGCTCGTGTTAGGATTGGTGAGTTTTTGATGAACATTTACTAACTGCTCAGACTTTCAATAGCATATATAAAAGTAACATTAAAATCCTATATAAAATTAGTGTTGAGAGAGTTTAGCTATACAATTATATTATATACAATTATCTTTTCTGGTAATTAGGGAATAGGAAATATTTGGTAATGTTCAGCTTTTTTTGATGACCCACACCCAATGCACCAATAAATCCCTTTGAATCAGATGTCAAACATATCAAGAATCCCACCACTTCTCAGTGAATACTGCTACCATCCTGCTCCAAGCTGCCATAATCTCTCACCTAGATTATTCCAATGGCCTTATAATTGGTCGCCTGGCTTCCATCTACAGTGTATATAGCCTTCCTCCACTTTGGTGTATCCCAACACAATAGCCAGAGTTATGCCATTCAAATGTTAAGGCAGATGAGGTTAGTCCTCTGCTCAATCCTTCAAAAGGCTCCCACTCCAATCAAAGCAAAAGCCAAAGCCTTTATAATTATCTATAAAGTTGTAACTGATTTGTATTCTCATTACTTCCTTAACCTCATTTCCATCATCTCCTTACTACCCTTACCCCTGTTCATCTCATTCTGGACACACTACAGTTCTTACTGTTCCTTGAACATGCCACCTCAGAGGCTCTTCCCTCTTCCTGAAATAATCATCCCCCAAATATCAGAATGGCTGATTCAGTCACCTCCTTTAGGTCATTATTCAAAGGTCACCTTTCTTGTGGGGACTTCTCTTACCACTTTATCTTCTAAATATTGCAAACCCCTATATTCTGTATACATCATCGCTGTTTTATTTCTCTCCTATCAAAACCAAACACAATATGTGTTTTATTTACTCTTCTAATTCATTATTCATCTACTTCGGCTGCTATATCTCTAGCATCTAAGAAAAAGCCTAGAACTTAGTGGGCATTCAATACAAATTTTCAATAATCTTTTTTTTTTTTTTTGAACTTACAAAGGGTATCCAGAGAAAGACTGGCTATTCAGAAAATGTCATAAACGTAATTTTATCATACTATAAGAAACTGATGCTGACCATCGTAAAGGTAGGAAAAAAGCAAATTCATATGCTATGACCAAAATAATTAAATAAGTCTAATGTATTGAAGCAGTATTATTTAGTGGTCTTTATTGTTTCTAGTGGGGGTAGGGATATCAGACTCCTTGAGCTTCCCTCAGATGGAAAAACCCTCAAATGAAGATGATCTGAGGACTCCCTCAGAGGCTTAAAATCTAAACCTTATAATGCATTCCAATGCTTTCAATGAGTATTTGAGTTTTTACCCCCCAACAAATTCTCTCAATCAAGCCGTTATTCCTATCTTCAAAAAGACACTAAACCTTTTTCATTTAATAAAAATCAATAGAAACAACGAAACAAAAATAAACAGACAAACAAAAATGCCTCAATGAGGTTATGAAATTAAGTAACCAAACAATGTCTTCTCAGTGGAAACAACAGGCTTATCATGGATTGCCTAGGTATTAACCAACAAAAAAGAAATCTCAAAATGCTATTCTGAAACAAATAGCTCTCTCAGAAGCTTTGGGGAAAATTGTGTCATCTCTGCATAACATAACCTTGTCAAGTGACCACATCTAAGCCTAGTAAACCAGTCGGTTTCTCTCCTAGCCTCTTAAATCTATCTTGAACTGTGTGACATTTGCCTTTGCCATTCTCTAATTTGGTGGTCCAGACTTGGTCTTTTTTCTACTCTTCTAGTTCTGCCATTTTCCAGCTGACCTTGGCACTCCTGAAACCCGTTGAATCATAAATTTCTCAGGTTATAAAGAGGTCTTAGATGGCTGTGTTATCAGGTTAACAAAGATATGCTGACACTATTGTCAGTGCTTACTGTCTTCATTTGACAGCTAAAATGACATTTAGTGAAACTCTCTCTCTCTCAAAATGAGCGAATAGTGAGAGCTTCCTTGCTACAAAGCTTTACGCAAAGTCTAGATTTAGACAGCCATTTTCTTAGCTAGTAATTAGTAAGTATATTTAAATATGTCATAAACATTCTTTGGAGAGAGAGGCTGGAATGCTAAAGAGCACTGAGATTCCCCTGATATAAAAATAGGTTGATGGCCAACATAAGCAATTGCTTATTTAACACAATCAATTTTTTTGATTTTTATAGCTGCTTTTTGAGTGAATCAGATGATTGTTTTAATGAAAAACATATCGACTATTAATTTTAAAGCCTCAGAAAAACTGAAAACCAGTAAAGAGAAAGTCAGATGCTTCATAATCTGACATGAATTGATTTTATAATGGAGACTTTAAAAGTACAAATGACATACTGGAGGAAGGATACTTATGTTAGTTGTGAAGTACTTTACTGAAGTAACATTCATGTGTTTCTGCTAATTATTAACTGTGGTTTCCCTCTTTAGACAAATAAATATAAGGTTAAGTAAGGGGGAGGGAAGCCATTAAAATGCAAGAAACCCCCAAATCATTAGGATCTAAGGATACAAATCTTTTAGTCTACATCATGATGAAAGCTTTAAAAGTCCTAGCAAAGATTGTAATCTGTCTCTACTGCATTGCATCTGATCTCTATCGTGCATCATTACCTCACATTTCCAAATGCCAATTGAAGAGCACCATTAGCTTGGGTAATGAGTATAAAAGACTGACAAGAATAAATGTAATGCTCTTATTGAATGTCATCCTTAGAGTCAATAAACAGTTTTCCCAAAGGAATAGTTGAAAAGCACATTTTGGTCAAAGGGATACCTACATCAATACTTAGTGAGAGATAATAAACGTCAACTTTCCACATAGAAGAGACCGAAACACAAGAAAGCACGAAGTCAACACTCTAATGTAGAAAACCAGGACTTAGGTTGAACAAACCTCTACAACAGGCTGTCAATTGATTCATGATTGAGGAGGAAAATTGTCCTCAAATTCATCATCACTCCTCATACGTTGACAGTATTAAAAATAACATTTTCTCTCTTCAAACAATGATAGAGATGTGTATTTGTACTCTGTATGATCAAGAAGTGATTTGTTTTTTTATAATATATGTTATATTAATTAGCACCACAATCCTTGAAGACTGATTTGAAAATTGTGAATTGAAAAGAGAAAGAAACATGAAAAAGGTAATTTTATTAGAGTTATAAAAATACCTATTTAAATTCCAAGCCACTACATATTCTTGCAAACATACTCTTACCTACTCAAAATCAAGAATATGCTAAAAGTATATTTATTCACTTTTAATAATGTTTTGACATATAATTGATGCTAAACAAATGTTTTCAGTGTGAATAAAAACTTGTCATTTTTAAGGTTTCATTAAAATCTCCTGTTCTTACATTCAATTATAAGAATATTAATTTAGCTAGTTTCCTTTTAAATGATGGAGTTATGGATTCAAAGAAGATGAGGAATTCAAGGTTGGCACATTAGTCCAACGGCTAAAACTGTGTTTTGTAATCTTGTCTTTGGCATTGTTAAAGTTCATTAGGTAAACAACTAACCAATCTGAATTAACCATAGGCCTTAAAACAAGGTAATCATTTTGCAATTTAGACCTTACTAATAAAATACTAATACCTTCATTTATAGGATATTTCAATTTCAATTTGAAATGTGATAGTATCCAAAATATATTGTTTCTCAGGAAGGATATTCATTTTACAAGAACAACTAAATAATATCATGCCATCAAAAAAAAAAAAAGAAAAGAAAAAAGCCATCTCATTTCACAAATTAGCAGCTCTCACAATTTCCCTGTTTCATATGGAAACTAGACCAAAGAGGTATTTTCTCTATTATCCGACAGCTTTACTTTGTATCTGGTTAAGCATTCAATAAATTAATAAAAGATGGAAAAACATTTGAAGATGGACTCTCCAATGTTTTTAAAGATATTTTACTGAATGTGTAAATTTAAAAACGATAATGTATTTCAATTAGTACAATGAAATAAATAATGCATTGTGATTTTAATCATGGAAATGATGAAATAAATTTAATAACCATTGAAGGTTTATATTAACAAATCTCAGAATCTCAGAATAAAATTTGCTCAAATTTTAGGTTACTGAATGAATATTAGAAGTAGCAGACAATCCAGGAATGGTCAATTCACATTAATTACTGAGAGGTGTCCAATGGCTACTTTGGAATATCCTAGTCACCTAGGAAGTAGAGTCAGTTTTAAGAGAGTATGTAGCCAGCAGTAACTACTGTAACTATAGAAACACATTTTCTCAACTCAGACACGTCCTTCTATATTATAAATTGGTAATGTTTGAGTTTAAAAGATAAGTGATATTGGC